ATCGAAACAAACAGTCATTTCTCCTTTAGAGTCGACATCAGCTTTGCCGCCGGATGATTCGATCTGGAAGGATTTGGCCAGGTCGATAGCCGAGTTTCTCGATCCAGTCGAGGCCAAGTAGGTTAAGGTTCGGACGCCTGGTGGCGTAGCATTTTCCTTTGAATTGAATGCCATCAAAAGAAACGTCACATTCAAGATCACCTGTGAGCTGGAGAAATCCGCCAGAAACGTCCATAGCCTTTTTGTCCGATGTGATCATCGGGGGCCCCAAAGCATAGATGATCAGGTCACGCATGTAGAAACTCCGCGCTTCTTCATTTTCCGTAAATGCTATATATGATTTGGTGGCCGCAAGTGCCCCCACTGAGCTTGCCTCTATCTCGCAGTTGATATTAACGCCCATACAACTGCGTAGTCACCCCTTGAAGGGTAATATGGTATAATATGCCTTTAAATGAATCCGTTGACTGGCGAAAACTGCACAGCGCCGTTAAAACTGGCTACCTAGGAGCGAAAGAAAGGCAACCGATGTACTACACTTATGAACATACTTTGGACAAACGTACTTTCTTGTTCACTCGGAAGCTCTATAGAACTTGGCACAATTTACTTAGAATGACTGATCGGAGTGTAGGAGTTTAGGAGATAAGGCAAACTCACCAGAACTTTCAAAATCAGCAAAGTTTTTATCCAGTCGTTCCTTCAATCAACACATCAAAATAATGACTATACGTCTGGCTTCACGTTTTCAGGTCGCACACTTCTACAATTCAATCGACAGCCAAATGATTCCCAGTCAGCAAGCACTGATGTTGAAATCCGCGTTGGCATTTGAGCGTTTGGTGAAGTTCAACAAGCTCTCTGACCCACATAAGGAGAAGGCTGGCGGTGAGGGCACAGGTATAACCTGGCAACAGGCTAAGGAAGTACCCGCCTACATCAACCAGTTACAAGCGGCAGTGCGACATCTGATAGAGGAGAATCGTCAGCTGCGTATGGTTCACTACGAACTGATTGAACAGGTGAGGCTTCTGATTCTCTCCCCCCCCTCCCGCCCTCCTCTCCGTCGTTCTCCACTGCACTTACTCCTTTACAGTATGGGCCCTATCTGACGCAAAATACCGAAATTTGCGCAAGACTGATACCCACTCGCAAATTGGCCTTAACGCATGCATTAAAAACTTTAAAAAAAAATAACAAAAACCTCAAGCGAATTTAAAACATAAAGAAAGTGTAAAAAGTACTAGTAGTTTGTTTAGAAATGCCAGCTTTTTTTAAAGAAGTCTCAAATTCCGAAAACCTCAAAAATCGCCGTAACGGTGAATAACAAACAAAAATAGAACTGTCAGATGAAAGCGTAAACACACTATTTGGTGTATATTGTAAGAATTTTCCTTTCGTCAAATTTCGGTTTAGGATTACAATTAATTTCAGGTCATCCTTGAAAGTTCGGCGAATATTTAACGATTTTCAGTCTTTTTAATTTTTTTCCACAAAATAAGACTCTCTCCGATCTGTTTATCGAAACTTCCAAAGTAGGATATTTGGTAGAGGGCTTTGGCAGATTATCTTAATTCATTTGACCCAATTGTGAAAAATCGCGGCCTCGGTGGGAGTCGAACCCACACAGCGAGGAAGGATTTTACGCAGCCAACGCTCTACCATTTGAACTACGAGGCTCACCGTGCGCCGTGAATTTAATCACACTTGGATCGATTTTACCCGCCCAAATTACTGCTTTTATGGAATCCACCATTACAGAACAGCAAGCTGACTGTTCAAGCTGCTGTATGGGTTCGGCTTCCATCGAGGCCGTGATTTTTTTACAATTGGGTCAACTGCATTAATTAAGTCTGCTACACCTCCCCCCCTCACACTTAAGTGAGCCTAGTAGTAATTCCGTTGGATTCCAGATGATTAGGTAGGAAATCCTGCCCGGACAGTCAGCTTGCTGTTCTGTAATGGCGGATTCCATACAATCAGTAATTTGGGTGGGTAAAATCTATCCAAGTGTGATTAAATTCACGGCACACGGTGAGCCTCGTAACTTAAATGGTAGAGCGTTAGCTGCGCAAAATCCTTCCCTGTTGTGTGGGTTCAACTCCCACCCTAGCAACGAATTTTACAATTGGGTCAACTGAAGTAAGATATTTCTTAAAAGCATTGGCCGATTCTTTACATTTACTTCCACCTGACTTTCACTAACTTACGATCAGATTTTCCGGTTTCTGGAGGAGTTTAAACATTTTCTTGCTTGTATTAGTGTTCTTTTATAGCACAACGCGCAAAAACAAAAGGTTTATTTCTGTCCCACTAAATAGCATAGGAAATTTCTTGGATATCCAGCAACCCCCGAGTTCGCCAAAATCCTACCTATTTTCCTTCAATATAATGAAGTAACATGCAGTTTTTATTATTTAAAGGCTTTCACAGCATCAAACGTACGCAACAGACACGACAAAATTTATGCTAGACTACCAGCTCGACGGTCAATCACGACTCTTCATGAGTTAGGTCACCTACCGTAAGCCACTTTGGTAACAGTTACATTTAGGGCCCACTATAGCTTATTTTTCGCATAACTGTCCACTTAGTTTGTAGCAGTATATATGCTTTATTGATATAGAGTTCCTAGAGTTGGTATGGGGCCAACGATTGTATCCAATTGGGCACTATTGGTTGTGTTGCTCCTGTTAATTATCGCGCGCAAATATTTGTTTGCTTAAATAATTCTTTCTATTATTTTCCACTTTTCTAGGCTCTACTTTTTTGACTATTTTTTTCGTCTGATATGCTCTACACATTCAACCCTATTACCACCGTTCGCGTGCTGTAGCAGGCCTTAAATATAACTTTTACCACTACTTTTTTCATTCGCACTCTTTTCCCGACACAGGTCACCAGTCTGATGAATCTGGATTTGCTACGGCAGCAGAGCAAATGGCGCGAGGTGCTCATGACCATGCGCTGTAGGCTGGCTGAAGTGGCCAGTGCTGGTGGTTATCCGGCAGATCACATGACCCCCTGGCGTGCTCACTTAGATCGCCAACTGTACAAGGCCCTCGAAGTGCAGTACCGCCTCGGTTTGGAGTCTCTCAACGAGCGGATGCCTGAGATGCGCGTCGATCTGGTCTACCAACAGTCGAACCTGAGCCTGCAGCCACCCTTTGAGGAGGTAGGCTGTTGCAATTTATCTCATTTTATTCAACTCCAAATTCAAACTAATGAGTACGTTGAGCGGGAAGTATTTTGGCCACCATTAAAAATTAGCATGTCTTCAGTGGGAAGAGAGGGCTTACGACACTTCAAGGATTAGAGGCTAGTGCAAGCAACCTCGAGGCGGACGAAGGTAGTACAGCAACTAATAACCAAAATGTCAGCTAAAATTATCTGAAATGTCATTAAACTGTTAGTGGATTCCTTATTTTCAGTTGGAACCTACTAGAGGTGAGGTACAATATTCCTGATTGTAGTTTTATCGCAGGGGGTTAATTAAGTTAAACCCAAGAAACTGCGATCTTCAGGTCATAGTTAGGTAGTAGAGAAGATAAGTCTTGGAAAGGCCAGAGTAGTAGGAAGATTATATTGTGTACACAGAGGAACGGAGAATAGATGGAAGAAGTCTGACTTGGGAGAACACGACCACCCAAGAGATTAGCCGGGTCCCAAGTGGGGTTTCAACAGCAGGCATGCAAGCGGCAGCGAGTACGGGCATTGTCTGGTTGCCTTGAAGGTTATTGGCCGGACAGACTGCATCGACCTAGGAGTGCCTGCATCCTATTCGCTGCCGAGAGAGACCAACCTTTGCGGATCTGTGATTGGCTGTTGCAGAGGCCGCCTTCAGTGCAGACGTACGCGTTAGCAGCAGCGGGTCTTCGGACGTGCTTGCCTATGTGGAGTTAGTCACCACAGTCTAAACTCTAGGGGGAGTAAACAACTTCGAAAGTGCTTTCAATTACCGTTCTTGAATCCAGTCTTTCCTTCACCTTTCGAAAAAACCTAAAAC